ACACACACACACCACAAACACGCATGCACGCACGCACGCACACACACACACACACACACACACATACCAACACACACACACACACACACACACACACACACACACACACACACACACACCACACACACACACACACACACACACACACACACACTGCACCTGCACACAGCACTCACAGCACTACACACACAGCCTGCACCACACACACACGCAACCACAAACACTGCTGCACCACACACGCACAAAACCACCCCACACACACACACACACACACACACACCACACAACACACACACCACACACACAACACACACACACACACACACACAAAACACACACACAAACATACATACATACACATTAACACAGACACACACACACACATTCACATTAAGCCAACCTGCACATCAGGCTTACTCACAAGCACAGGTACATACACACAGCATGGTTGCGTGAGGACCACCACTGACACACACACGTGCACACACACACACACATGTGCACACACACAACACCACACACACACACACACACACACACACACACACACACACAACACACACACACCACACCACACACCCACACACACCACCACATGCACACACACATACATACATACACACACAAACACACACACACACACACACACACACACACACATACATACATACATACACATTAACACACACACACACACACACATTCACATTAAGCCAACCTGCACATCACAGCATGGTTGCATCTTTCAGGGCTGGTTCTGGTGTTAGTGTTACATTTAGTGACTCACTCTGTGTGGAAAAATAATGTTTAACTTAATTTTTTAATGACTACCTCACCTCATCCCCACACATACAATTATCTGTAAGGTCCCTCAGTCGAGCAGTTAATTTCAAACACAGATTCAACCACAAAGACCAGGGTGGTTTACCAATAACGTGCAAAGAAGAGCAACTAGATGTGTAAATAAAACAAAACCAAAACAGACATTGAATATCCCTTTGAGCACGGTGAAGTTATTAATTACACTTTGGATGGGGTATCAATACACCCAGTCACTACAAAGATACTGGCGTCCTTCCTAACTCAGTTGCCTGACAGGAAGGAAACAGCTCAGGGATTTCACCATGAGACCAATGGTGACTTTAAAACAGCGCCTGTGATCGGAGAAAACTGAGGATGGATGAACAACATTGTAGTTACTCCACAATATTAACCTAATTAACAGAGTGAAAAAAGCCTGTACAGAATAAAAACATTCAGCAAATGCATCTTGTTTGCAACAAAGCACTAAAGTAAAACTGCAAAAAATGTGGCAAAGCAATTCACTTTTTGTCCTGAATAAAAAGTGTCATGTTTGGAGAAAATCCAATACAACACATTACTGAGTACCACTCTCCATATTTTCAAGCATAGTGGTGGCTGCATCATGTTATGGGTATGCTTTTAATAGTTAAGGACTATTAAATAATGGAATTGAGCTAAACACAGGCGAAATCCTAGAGGAAAACCTGGTTCAGTCTGCTTTCCACCAAACATTGGGAGATTAATTCACCTTTCAGCAGGACAATAACACAAGGCCAAATATACACTGGAGTTGCTTAACAAGAAGACAGTGAATGTTCCTGAGTGGCCGAGTTACAGTTTTGACTTAAATCTTATTGAAAATCTATGACTAAATGTTGTCTAAATGTTAACAACCAATTTGACAGAGCTTGAAGAATTGTGAAAAGCTAAAATGGGCAAATGTTGGACAATCCAGGTTTGGAAAGTGCTAGGAGACATACCTAGAAAGACTCACAGCTGTAATCACTGCCAAATGTGCTGCTATAAAGTAATGAGTCAGGGGTGTGAATACTTATGTAAATAAGATATTTGTGTATTTAAATTTCAATACAATTGCAAAAAGTTCTAAAAACATGTTTTCACTTGGTCGTTATGGGGTATTCTGGGTAGATGGCTGAGAAAAACACACATGTAATCCATTTTGAATGCAGGCTGTAGTAACAAAATGTGGAATAAGTATTAATACTTTCTGAAGGCACTGAATGTGTATTGGTGGGAAAATGTGTACATCATTATCCGCAGGCAAACTGGATTACACTTAGTTTCTCTCTGTCAGACAGGCAGTGTGTTTGATGTTGTAACTGCAGATAAGCTGCAGAGTGGGGAAAGATACTGACTTGTACAATAAAACGACTGTTCATTCCCAGAAACAACAAAGACTGCAGAGAACGTCCAATTTAAAATAATACACCCTTCACACATTCATCCAGCCTTCACACATTCATCCAGTCTGCTTCAAAGGAGAAGGAGAACAGATAGTCCTGGAAACAAATACAACATGGTACTGTAATTACGGACACTGTGATAGTTAACATCTAATCATTCAGCTACCTTTGTTTCCCATGTTCAGTGCTTTCTCCTCCAAATATGACTGTACTTCAAAGGCAAGACACAGCAAACGAGCAACAGAGAAAATCATATTCCAAGATTTATCTTATGTTATTAAACTCATGAGTCTGTTAATTACTGTATTATAATTAATAATAACTCATTTCCTGAACCAAAGTTACATCAAAGACATGAATGAGTAAGTTAGTTTGTCTATTTGGTTTGGCTTAGCTTATGCATTCCCTACCCTATGAACCTTATCCTTATCAGACACAAACAGAGCAGCTAGCAGCTAGCCTTGACAAACGTCTGTTAGTCTGTGTTTAATGTGGTGACCTTAGCAGTGACCCTAATGTTGGACAGGCCAGTCTCTTTGAAGCCTGGTAGTGACACAGCCCTGCTGTTGACTCTATGTGCAGTGACTGGGAGCCACAGTGGGGCAGAGGGAGCACAGGACCAATAGAGAGGACCTTACAAGAACACCATCACTGCTGGCACTAGCTGAAGAGAAGATGTTTGACAGGAACCAGAGTAGTACAGTATTCTGTATGAACGATGACAAATACAGATCACACAGGGCCGGTGTGTCTCTCTCTGTTTCTCTCCCTTTTTCAGAAAGGGTGAATGGGTTTATTGTTGTGTGGTATGATTGTGGGATTATGTGCCAAGGGCTCACATATATAGCTGCACCTGCACACATACACTCCCAGGGCCACGTCCTCAGTTGGCACACTCATAGATACCCTGCCTATCTTTCTGTCCGTCTGTCTGCAGACTCTGGCCTCCGGTATGGACACTGAGACCGCTTTGTCTCCCTTGGCTGACCACTGATTGACAGACAGAGCTATGGGGGCACAGTGTGTTTGTCTAGCTGCTAGCAGGGTTACCCTGTGTGGTTATTGAGTGTTGTGAACAGCCTACTAGTCTTGTTTAATGCCTGCTGGCTGGCAGGCTTAGACGGGCAGGTGAGAGAGAGCTGGCAGCAGTCCTGTTTCTCCTGTAGAGTTATCATTAGACAGAGACACACAGAGTGAGAGAGAGAGAGAGAGAGAGAGAGAGAATAGAAGAGAGGAGAGTCGATAGGAGGAGTAAGCTAGCTAGATCGAGATAGAGACGTAGTAGAGAGAGAGAGAGCTATAGAGATATATTCCATATATATAAATAGATATCACGAGAGATAAAGAGAGAGAGTATATATAGAAATCCAGACTAATAAATATCGATCAGCGCCGCTCCCTCAGCGCGCGCTGCCGCGTGCGCGCGCCCCCGCGCGCTCCGCGCGCTCGCCCGCCGCGCTCCGCGCGCGAAGAGCGAGAGCGCGTCGCCACTCTGCCACTTGCTCACTCCTCCTGATTTATGTCTAAATAAAGAACCGATGTTAAGAAGGCCAGGCTGGCCACCAACGCTCCGCTAGCCGATTCAACCACTCAATACTACTAATGGAGGAGACAGAGGGGGGCCAAGGGACAACAGCGGTATTAAATAACATATATTTGAATATTTTTCTGTAAAGTGTTTTCCTATGGCACTTTTTGATGGATTGATTGGTTGGTTGTTTGATGGATTGATTCATTGATTGGTTGGTTGATTGATTGGTTGATTGGTTGGTTGAATAGAAGAAAGAGAGTACTACTGAAGAAAGGTCTTACCTCCCACGGGGTACATCAACATCATCCTTCCTCCAGCGTACGTTGGGCTGGGGGTCTCCCTGCACCTGGCACCTGAACTCTACCCCTTCCTCCTCCAGGACCACCTGGTTGATGGGCCGACGCAGGAAGGTGGGACGCTCTGGAGAGGATAGAGAGAGAGAAACCAGGATAGCCAAGAACGATAAAGAGAGATGAGAGAGAGAGAGGAGGGAGAGAGAGGCGAGCTCAATCAGAGCGAGAATAGAGAGATCTCTATGATCGAGAGTATAGAGATAGATAGAGATACTCGATATATCTATCTCTCTCGCGCTCGCTATCCCTCGCTACTCTCTCTCTCGTCTCTCTCGTCTCTCTCTCTCTCGCTCTCTCTAACCCTTCCTCTCGCCCTGCCCTTCCGCTATCTCGCTCGCTCCCCCATCTAACTACCAGATCTGACATCAGAAAGAGATACACTGCGAGCCCTCTAGAGAGAGACATCCCTATATATACAGAAATCGAGAAGAGATAGATACATAGACAATAAAGAGAGAGAAAGACAGAGAGCGAGAACTTTATCAGATAAAGAGAGAAAAATAGAGAGAGAGAGAGAGACAGAGATAGATAGAGAGAGAAGAGAGAGAGGAGTGATGGAGCGATAGGCGATAGAGCTATCTATAGAGATGAGAGAGAGGAGATAGGATATATTCTCATAGATAGTAGCTATCTATCTCTGCTATGTTTTAGATCGGGTGATTCTTGTTCTTTTTTTTTTTTTTCTCTCTCACGTCTCGTCTCTCTCTCCTCCTCTCCTACCTTTCTCTGCCCGCACACGCGATCGATCTCTATCTGCTCTCCCCCTCTCCCTAAAAGAGAGAGACAGACAGAAGAGAGACAATTAGAAAAGCGATAGATATACACGAATTATAATACATAAAGATAGATAGATAGAGAGACAGAGAAAATAAAGGAGAGAAAGAACAGAATCGAGACATTGAAAGAAAAATAGAAAGATAGAAAGAGAGGACATAGAGACAGATATAGGGAGAGAGAGAGAGAGAGAGATAGAGAATGGAGAGATAGATAGAGATAGAGATAGATATATCTATTATAATATATATATGATATAGATAGGAGATACCGAATATATAGCCAGAGAAGATATGATAATACGATCGAGATAGACAGAAATAGAAACAAATAGAGAGAGAGAGAGAGATAGGTAGATATGAGATATATAGAGATACATAGATAGAGATAAGATAGAGATATATACAGATATAGATATAGAGAGTACATATAGATATACATATCTATAGATATATTTATAGATTAACAAATTTATATAGAAAGTTACACTAAATGTATATACATAAATAGATAGTATATACATTAGAAATAAATAGATAGAGATGAACAGAAATATTCTTTACATGAAGAGTAGCTATAATAGAAGAAACATAAATATATATACATCAATATATATAGATATATAGAGATCTATTCATATCTATAAGCTATATATCATGATATTATAGATATATATAGTATAGAATTATATATCTCGCGAGATCTATACCTCGCTCTGTATACAGCTAACCTCCCCTTTTCTTACTTCCCTCTCTGCTCTCTCTCTCTCTCTCTCTCTCTCTCGCTCTCTCTCTCTCTCCTCTCTCTCTCCTGCTCTGCTCTCTCTCCTCTCCTCTCTCTCTCTCGCTCTCTCTCTCTCTCTCGTCCGCTCCTCTCTCTCACCACTCTATCTTGCTCCAGCCCTCTCCCTCTCTATAGACTCTCCGCTCTCTCTCTCTCTCTCTCTCTCTACTCTCTCTCTCGCTCTCTCTCTCCTATGAGAGTAGAGAGAGACCTCAAGATCTCATCTCTAAATCAAAAAACCTCCATCCATATATCTCATCCCACTGCGAACATATACATTGAGAGAGCAGAAATATAGAGACATAAAGAGAGAACAGAGACATAGAGAGATAGAGCAAGGAAAGTCATATAATAGACAGAAAGAGAGAGACATAGAGACTACAGCGCGTAGATAAGAATAGAGAGAGAGGAGATAGAGAGATATATCGACTCTATATATAGCGAGAGAATATATACAAAAGGAGTAGCAATATTACTTTATCCCCCCCCCCCCTCTCTACCCCCTCTCCTCCGCCCCTCCTCCCCCCTTCCCTCCCTCCGTCGTCAGATAACCGGCTTTCGCCCTTTCCACTCCTCTCAGAGAGAGAAACCCACCAACCATTCCCCCTCGAGCTCAGTGGTGCTCCTCTCTTCGCTCCTTCCCTCCCTCCTCTCTGGTCCTTGGTAGGTTGTCTGCGGATGGAGAGAGCTTCCGGGTTTGGGTTATGCACGGAGGGGGGTGGTGGGGTGGGGCGGGGGGGTGTGGGGGGGGTCTAGGGTCCCCACCCCCCCGTGGGGGGGAGCTAGGCGCGCTTCGCGCCGCCCGCGCCGCGCCCTCCCGCGCCCGCCCTCGCGGCCGCCCGCGCTGCGCCCTTGCGCACGCGCGGCCCTCCCCTCGCCTCGTCCCCTCTCTCCCGGCGGCCCGGTCGGGGGGGGGGCCCCTGCGCCCGTACGCAGAAGAGAGCAGGAAGAGAGTCAGATTAGATAACAGTGTGGTCTGGGTGTCTGTAGGAGTGTTCAGGGGGGAAGACAATACCGAGAGAGAGAGAGCGGCAGAGCTAGAGAAGAGAGCGAGAGAGGGGGGGGGCGAGAAGCTCGCGCGCAGTGTGGGGACGGGGTGAGCGTCGAGAGAGCGACTCGGCGCGGGAGCGAGCGCTTCGGCGAAAAAGCGGCGCGACGACGCGCGCGCGATAAAGCGAGAGAGACTGAGCGCAGTCACCGACATACCAGCAGAGGCAGGGATACAGACCGTTGGATAGAGCAGACGGACGACGCATAGATGAGCGACCATTACCAATCAACAGGCATACAGACCGAACAGAGAGAGAGAGATCCCGCCTTAGAAAATAACGAATAGAACGACAGAGCTTGAACCGCATGAGCGGGCGCCAGAGACTAGAACAGCAAATTTAGAGACATAAAATATGTGAGACAGATACAGACACGAGAGAGACTTGGAGAGAGACATATGCGTTATACGATAAAGGAAAGAACGCGAGACGAGGAGAGAGAGAGACGCGTAGAGAGAGAGAGTAGAGTAAAAGATAGAGTTATAAGAGATAGAGAGAGGGGGGGAGACAAGTGCGATAACCCGCAAGACGCGCGCTAAGCCCACCAGGTGCCAGAAAAAACAATTAGCGCAAAGCCGCAAACTATAAACAAAGCCCTGCACTAGACAGGGTGAGGAAGAGAGAGAGAGACATTTAAAGATAGCCACAATATAGAGACAAAGACACGCTCCGTCTGGTGGACTATAGAGATAAACACAAAAAGCCTTGCATACGCTAACGCGAGAAAACCGCTTCCATAACTACTCATACTATCTTCAATATCTATCTCGATAGCTACTCGCTATACGCGCATAAGCAATCGCTAGATACTAACCGTACATCGATATATGGCGCATTACTATGAAGATACTCTATAACAATCGATACCGATAAGATAGTCCTTTCATAGTGAAGAGATAGCGACAGACTTACTAGACCATAAAGTAACATAGAGAGATACATTGATATATAGAATATACGACCTAAAACTGCATAGACAGGTATAACAGATAGAGTCTAGACAAAAATAGAGTCAGATATAGACGACATAAAAATATAGAGAGGATAGATGAGGCTAATATATAGAGAAACTATAGAGATGTGGGCAGTTCGATGACCCCGCAATATTCATGGTAGTGGCTGCAGACAGTTTACTGTCCTGTTGACTGTGTTTTCCAGCAGTCAGTGGCTTACAAAAAACAAAAAACGGAACGTCCAGGGACTTTTGTTTATTTTGGTGGGGTCAATGGATGAAAATGTATTCGCACATTTTTTTAAACACGTTTGGGAGCATTGTTAGGCGTTCATGCTTACCAAACACAGTCAGCTGGGCCGTCTCACTGTCTCTCTCTCCCACCATGTTCGTGCCAACACAGATGAACATGCCAGCATCACTCTTTCTGGTGTTGGAGATCATCAGCTTCCCTCCTCGGATCTGAGGGCACAAGGAAACAAGTTGAGCTACATTCCTCATGTAGGTCTATGACCAGGGGTTGGTTAGTAGCACGTGTCTAGTTAGTAGTACATGGTTAGTTAGTCAGTAGTACATGGTTAGTTAGTATTAAGTGGTTAGTTAGTAGTACATGGTTAGTTAGTATTAAGTGGTTAGTTAGTAGTACATGGTTGGTTAGTATTATGTGATTAGTTAGTAATATGTGGTTAGTTAGTATTATGTGGTTAGTTAGTAGTAGTACTTACAGTGATCCTGTCCTCCTTGTCTTCAATGCGTACTTTGTCCTTCTTCCAGTAGATGGTGGGTTCAGGGTGACCTCTAGGGGGGATACACTCCAGGATGGCCGGCTCCCCCGCTGCCACCACCACATCTGTAGGGTTCTGTCTGAAGTCATCACGCAGCACTGAGGACAAAGAGGGAGAAGAGAGAGGGAGGGTGAGCCTGCGGAGAAGGCTCTGCAATGACGAAACACTTTATCTGATCAAATACTTAGCTAGACATCTCTGCAAAAACTTTACGCAATAAGTGGCAATGTCTGTGTGTGAGTGTGTGTGGTGAGTGCTTGGTGAGGTGATGCTGCTGTGTGTTAGACTGAGATGTGAGGTTTCATCTGACTGGTCTAGCACAAATAGCAGCTAATTGGAGTTAATGGATGGGTCCCAGCGGAGGCAGCAGTCCAAACACACACAGAATGCCCTGAAGCATGGTGTAACTCACATCAAAGAGCTCACATGGGCGCAGCACTGCTCAGTACCATGGGCATAGTACACACACACACACACACACTGTCCATGGGTGGTCTGGCAAACAATGTTCCCCGCTATCTAATCGCCCTCATGTAGCCCTTTCGTCACACAGATCCCCTATCAGCCTGTCTAGTGTTCTGTCATACACACAGAACAGGCCTGCTCATTGTCAACCAGACAATGGCTGTTCATGTTAACCCTTTACAATACACCTCAACCCCCATTAGATACTAGAGACTACACCTGTATCAGTGTCTCATACACCCCCCCCCCCGCCCCCCAAACCATTGTTGATACACACGGGAATCTGTTGAGCGTGAAAACCCAGCAGCGTTGCAGTTCTTGACACAAACCAATGCGCCTGGCACCTACTACCATACCCCGTTCAAAGGCACTTAAATATTTTGTCTTGCCCATTCACCCTCTGAATGGCACACACACACACAATCCATGTCTCAATTGTCTCAAGGCTTAAAAATCCTTATTTAACCTGTCTGCTCATCTACACTGCTTGAAGTGAATTTAACAAGTGACATCAGTAAGGAATCATAGCTTTCACCTGGATTCACCTGGTCAGTCTATGTCATGGAAAGAGCAATGTTTTGTATACTCAGTGCATGTTAGCAAATGTCCTTGTGCTCTGCAGTATTACAGAAAACACTGTACCACTGAACAGACATAAAGAGCTTTTTTCACAGAGAAAATATTACCTTAAAAGCTCAGGCTGCTTGTTAAAGCCACAAATTGGGGATCATTCTAGAACATGCTGGGCGCACTCAAGCTGACATTTTCCCGCTTAACCCAAACCAAATCCACAGAATTCCAAATGAGGAATTGCGTCATGTCGGGCGGTGATTCCAGTCGTGTATCTGGGGACATGTGTGATGGATAAAAGAAGAAGGGGATGTTTGAGGAGTCCTAAATTAAGGGCAGCACCACAGGTTCTTGTGCAAATCCCCCATGGCGCTTGCCTGCACACACACACACACACACACACACACACACACACACACACACACACACACACACACACACACACACACACACACATGGAGAAGGGGTTGGATTAGAGTGGTATAATAGGTCCCAGTGCGCTGCTCTCATCTCTCCTCTACTCTCCTCTCCTCTGCTCTACAAGGCCCACAACACCATTGTCTGTTTATTTATTTATTTATGAAGGGGAGGGAGGGAGGGAAAAAGCTTTCAACTCATTTTTCCAGGGGATGGAAACAGGGATGGAAACGGGGGATGGAAACAGGGGATGGAAACGGGGTACATAGGGGGACTTTTGTGTGACACAAATTCAAATGAGAGAGAGAAGGATTGGGAGAGAGATATAGAGCAGTGGCTCTGGTGGGGGTCCCTCCCATTGTTGGTCCAGCTAGGATGCAACACTCTGCACTGAAGAGTTGCTGTGATTAGCCAGCCCCAGAGAGATGGACCCCCTGGACAGACATATAGACAGGGTGGAGACTTGAGCCTCAGCCTTCCTGGTTCCTCTGTTTCCATCACAAACAGAAACCTGCTTTCTGAAATCATACCACCGGGATGGACTGGCCACTGTGGCTAATGCCTATTGTTCTGGTATTTGTGTTTGTGTTCTTTTTTTTATTTTTATTTTTTTATGTGGCGGCCAATGGGTTTCTGTCCAGAAATTGAACAAATATCTAATAGACAAAGTGTATGTTATATTATGTGTGTTTGTACGCGTTCTACAGTATTGCAAATCTACCAAGCCCCTCCCCCTATACAAACAAACAAAACAACACACCCCTGCAAACAGACACACTTCCAAACACTGAGCTCCCAACCGCTATTAGCCAACAAACAGATGATGTGTATTCGGGTTAGAGGATTACGGTTGTGTGTTGGTTCTGGGTTCTGTAATACTAACAGAATGCTTTGAACAGATGCATGTACAAGAGATGAGCAGGGAAAACACACCCACATTCAAACATAACTTACACATTTCAAATCCTGACCTTCAAGCCTGATTGGATCCAACCTGTACCAAATAATAAGAACGTCCAGAGCATCTTCCTAGGATTTCTGCTTACATGATGATTACCACTGACCATATGCCTTCATTAGACTACTGTTTAGCAGTCCATTTCTTGCATGTATGTGCAGTTTGTGAAAGTGTGTGGTTTTTTGTGTGTGTTTGCTGTGTGTGTGTGTGTGTGTGTCTGGTATGTATAATTGAGAGGGTGAGAGGATATGTGTATGTACAGGATCTGAACTCCTGCTCTAACTCCGGGGCTTGCAGGCACTGAGGCCCATATCGCCAGGCAGACGTCTGACATAATTGCATTTCTATCCCACTGAAAACTACAGCTCTTCCCCCTCCAAAAATACCTCACCTCCCATGGAGGTAGCATGGCCAAATTCCTGCCAGTGTGCTTACTGGTGATTAATATTACATATTTATATATGCATACCCTTCTGCCTGCAAAGGCTACATCTGTCAGTCAGGCTGCAGGCTATACAAACCCATATCAGAAAAATATGAATCCGCCATCGGCAGACATATTCATTTATTTCTCCAACTACCTAAGGAGGCAGCAGGAAAGCAGTGGGGTGGAGGGTAGCAGCAGACGGGGGTAAAGCACAGTAAATTGGCAGCTCTGCATCTGGTGCTGCGTCAACTTTCACACTTAAAGGGGAAAGAGTCAAGTTGCAACTTGCACAGTGGAACAGCAAACGAGTGGGGAAGAGAGGGGCCATGCACTGTGGAACAGCGGCGGAGCGGGGAAGAGAGACTGTGGAACAGCGGCGGAGCGGGGAAGAGAGACTGTGGAACAGCGGCGGAGCGGGGAAGAGAGACTGTGGAACAGCGGTGGAGCGGGGAAGAGAGACTGTGGAACAGCAGCAGTCCGGAGAAGAGAGGGGCCTTGGACTGTGGAACAGCGTCGGAGCGGGGAAGAGAGGGGCCTTGCCAAAAGGAAAACACACAACACTTTTTAACAGCCAGAGTCTTACACTAGCAGTCAGAGGCCTGTGCCAGAAGCCATCTACATTTTAAGCAGACTTACAGGAGCAATTAGGGTTAAGTGCCTTGCTCAAGGGCACAACAGCATACATTTCACCTAATCGACGGGAGGATTCGAACCAGCAACCTTTCGGTTACTGGCCCAACACACTTAAACATTAGTCTACCTGCTGCCCTAATCTAGCTCTAATGCCTCTCTCTCACCCATACAGAAGACTCAGAAAACATCCAACAACACTACAACCAACAGTAGCATCATTACAGAGTGGTAGGTAGAAACATAAACAGAGAAGGGTGTAGAGGCAGATTCTGTACCCCCTTTCCTACAAGCCAGAATATTAGTCACTGGAATATGACACCAGTTGTCTTGTAAGATGAGTGGGGAACCTTGACTGGGCCGTCCAGCCAGCATACTGTGTCTGATGCTGTTTCACAAAGGCTGTGCACTCCCGCTCCCTGTCACAATGCTACGGGTTGGTGTCTAAACCGTTGTTTTCCTTCCTCCTGTTTTATATGACGATACTACCATCTGACAGGCATGCACACACAGGCATACACAAACACACATTCATAGACAAATGAACACAACACAGACAGACACACATGCACAGACATACGAACACAAACAAAACAAAAACACACAAACACACACACAAACACACAAGCCCACAAGCATAAACACACACATACTGAACTGTACACAGCCTCTCTTAAAGCCACAGGGCATCCATCTGAATTACTCATGTGAGAGATATATTTTTTATAACATTTATTTCCCATCAAATGCAGTAAAGGGCTCCCTCTCCATGCATATATTTCCTGACAGGTCAGGGCTGAGAAACACACAGGGATTACAGCACTGCTGTTCAGGCCTGGAGCCACTCCACTCTACACCACCACCATCCAGTCCCACCGATATCACTACCGCCTCCTATTCACACACTGATAGGAAAAAACACTGCACACATATTGTTCCTGGAGTGTATTTTAATAGCTAGCTCCAAGCTATGATAGCAGCATTCAGTGCTTGGGAAGAAGTGCTTTTTCTGCTCAATCCATCCAGAGTACTATTACAATGCCACTATATGCCTTTAGACAAGAGAGGTAATATATCTGTCACTTTACACCAACAATACTAGAGCTATCTGTGGAGTCATTTGGTGTTTTGTATTACTGGCTGTAGACGCTGAAGGATGCAATATAATGTAGCGCTGGGTGCAGCATGGTGTAGAGCGAAGGCCTCCATTTGTCTCAGTGGCAGATCTCTGTGTAACTCCGGACATCTCATAGGGCCCCCCACTGGCCAGTGGTAACCTCTGCCCCCCATCCAGATGCAGAAATTACCCCCCTCATATCCCTCTATGGGGTCAGAGGTCAGCACAGAGAAACGGCTGACCTCTACCCCTCTCCTCCACCCCCCGCCCCCCCGATCCCCCTATAGACATTTTCCCCCCACACCCCCTCAACGTTCACTTAGCTTACCTGCTGCTTCCCTTAGGGACATTCCCCAACCCCACCAACTGACTTTTACTCTGCCCCCACCCCAATGACAAGCACCACTGTTGTAGTTTTTAATATGTATATTATTATTCATATTTGTATTATTATTTATATTGTTTTATTTCACTTGGTCCCCACACCCCCTCAATGGTCATGCTGCTCCCCCTATGTCATGCCCCCCCCCCCCCCCCAACAGGCTTTACTCTGCCTCCGCCCCAATGGACATGGTTTATTCATCCCTGCTACAGTTATAATGTATATAGTGCTATTTCTATTTCTATTGTTGTTGTGTTTTTATTACCATTTTCATTATTTTATTTCACTTAGTCCTCCTGCATGTTGGAGCCGAAGATTTTCACTGTACCCTTCGATCACACCTTTAACCCTGTACATGTGACTATTAAACACTCTGAATCTCAGAATCACAGAATCTCTTCTCTCTCTCTCCTCCCTTTACTTTTCTCTCTTCCTCTCTCTCCATTCCCTCTCTACCTCTATATATGGAGTCATTATGCAGCTCATCCTATCATGTAACACACACCATGTCCAGGCTGATGCCATCTTCTCCACCACTCCTCCTATCTCTAGATTACTACCCAGGGTGTCCTAAATAAACCTGTCAGCCCACCAGATAAGACCCAGGAAATATGGAAATCATATCATAGGGAGTGGTGTGATATGGCGCTGGGGGAAAACAGGTTGTGATATGACAATGATATCTACATTTTTAATGGGGTTATAGACAGGGATGGAGAGAGAGAGAAAAGCAAGTGTGGTGAAAGGTGAAGTGAAGAGAGGGAGTGTAGAGGAGGAGGAGGAGGAGAGGAGGACAACACAACAGGAGATGGTGAGAGGAAGAACATGGTGGAAGGTTCAAAACATCAGAGCCAAGAGGAGGAGGACAGGGGTGTCAATTAACTAGTGGAGGGGGGAGGCGGGGCCCACCTTCCATCAACCTATGCCCCCACGCTGGTTTTTTTGAACCCAAAAAATTTTTTTTTGAAAAAAATTTTCCCTTTTTTTTTTCCCCCCCCCCCCCTTTTTTTTTTTTTTTTTTTAATTTTTTGGGGGTTTTTAGAAAAAAAAGGGTTTTTTTTTGGGGAAAAAGAAAAAAAAGAAAAAAAAAAGGAAAAAGGGCCAAAAAGGTGTAATTGAAATTTTTAAATTTTTGGGGAAAAGGGTGAAGAAGGGAGGGGGGAGAGAAGGGAGGGGAGGAGGGGGGGAAACACCAACGGGGAAGGGTTTGGGGGGGAAAAAACGGGGGGAATTTAAACTCGAGCCGAAGGAACGGGGGTAAATTTAACATGGGGGGGAGGGGGCACTTCCATAAAATTTGCCCCCCCCACGCTGTAGGTCTCCCTGCCTCTGTCCAGGGGCCTCCCCCGCCTCTTTAAAAACCCACAGCCCTCCTTCAAAGCTCGTTTTTCACCCAGCAGTCCTAATTTGGCCTAATGAGGCCCCCGCTGACCAGGCACCGTAATGGCAGAAGACAGAAAGCACCGGCCACGGGATTCTACTGGATGCCCATACCATGGAATACAGTGTGATGGAGAAACAATATAATTAACTATTTAATGAACCTCTCCCCTCGTATCCCCTCCCCTCCCTCCCAATGCACACTCCCCAAATTCAATTTAGGCTAATCCATGCTTTATGGTAATATATAGCTCATTAAAATGTTAGTTAAAAACTCATAAAATTTCACTTGCAGAAGTAATGGCTTCATTAAAGTAATATGCTGAAAAGCAAAGAAAAAGAGAGAAAGTGAGAAAGAGAACGACAGCTTTCTAATCACTTAATTGTGACTAAAACGGAATACATTTGCATAATAAATAGCGATGCCCCACTACATTTCCCTCTCTTCACAGTGCTCTATAATTAACAAGCAATACAATGAAACATGCATTTATTTCCCCCAAATTGTATCTTTGTTGGCCACTTCAGTTTTCACTGTGTTGCATCTTCCTCTTCTGCCTGGTTGTTTGTGGTGTTTGTGTGGCGGCTGCCAGATGTGCAGAGCGTGCTGTAACTGGAGCTGGCTGATACAGAGGAACAATGTGCCCATGGCCCTTTCTGCCTGGCTTGATAAGGGATGGGGCTGTGCTGACGCTCAACTTCCGCTCAGCCCTGAATGGACACTTCAGAGTCGGAAGGAAGGAGGGGGAAAGACGTAGAGGAGATTTCCTGCCAATTCCACCACAAAGACAGACATACAGACAAAGAGACAGACAGCCATACAGACAGACAGACAGACAGACAGACAGACAGACAGACAGACAGACAGACAGACAGACCGACAGACAGACAGACAGACAGAGACGCATCCAAGTATACTGAGTGACTGAGTGACTAAGTAGTTGAATTTGCCTGGTAGGACTGGGAGAGTAGAGGGAGATGGAAAAGGAGAGGAGAGGAGAGGAGAGGAGAGGAGAGGAGAGGAGAGGAGAGGAGAGGAGAGGAGAGGAGAGGAGAGGAGAGGTGAGATGAGAGGATTTGCTGTCTGAGGAGGAAGGACGTGGCATGCCAGGGCCAGCTGTTGGTTGATATTAAGACATGTTGAGAGGTAAACATTATGCTTTGAGTAAAAGCACTTGGTAAACTGGAAATACTACTCCATGAGCAGCTGGAAAAGCCTGCATTATTGAGTTTACCAGAGACAGTGGCAACATTGATTCCCATCCAGATGTCTACAGATAAAACAGCTCATCATTTGAGCTGCTCAGGGCCATTAAAATCCCTGTCTGACTCAGAATGTGTATTCGTTTTGTGCAACGGGTTGGAGTGGCTCGACCTGAGCAGTCGATGGAAAATAACATCTTTCCTAGAAATGCCACATGAAGGAGTTCTGAGAATGTGCATTGGAGGAAGCTGTGATATCTGTTGGGGATAATGACTCATATGGTACTGTATGTAATCACGTCTAATTGTTCTGCTAGTTCAGCTGTCCAGCCTCTATGTGGTCAAGAGAAATCCCATAGAAAGCCACTCAGATCAGACATAGTCCCGTAATCTACAGATCAGATGAGCTATTCACATGAAACACTTCAACACACTCTAATGATCCAATGACACCATACTGTAACATGGAAAACAGAACACAACAGTTTAATCCTATAGATGAAAAACCATATACGTGTGGGTTTTTTATGACGTGATCTTTCAGAAATGACACTCTTGATGCTTTTTTAAACACACATATTATATTGTTCTTTATTGCAAGGGCATATAGTCTGGGCATATCGGGAGTTGCATTGCCCCATGGGTAATCTCCTCAGCCAAAAAGAGAGCAAGAAAGAGGGGAAAAAGAGAAGGAGTTTCTCAGGAGACTCCTTCCTTCCTTCCATTAGAATACTACCACACAGCATTCTGGTTAGTCTGTCTCAGAGCAGAGACCACATCTAGACCCACCCCTGGGACAGCCTAGGAAACCCGTTGGCCGTGGGCAGCATTACTGCATTACTGCTCTGTGTTTTTCAGACAGGATGTAAATGTATCCCTGGACCCTCCTGGCCCCAGGTCATGGTTGAGGGGATTTAGGCAGCCATGTCACATTGGATCAGTGGTGCCTGACACATTGGACAGGGAGGCTGATGCATAGGCCCCTCATTAACTGTGTCCCTCCAGCCTGTGGTATGGGTTACCATTACCAACCTACTAAACTGTGCTCTAATGCTACCGTCCAAACAGTCAAACAGTGCAGATTAGATGGAGCAAGCCAGTAGGCCAAGGACTGGGAAGGCAGAGAGCGATTTCAGATACATTCACTGCTGGAGTTCTCTTTACTTTTCAGTGGAAGCATTGAGCTTAAAATATAGCCACCATTTTTGACTCTCCTCATCTCACCTCTCCTCAACCCATTCTGTTTTTACACCTCTGTCATGCAGTAATCACATCTCATCACTCTCCATCCCTCTATCTCTCTCACATGCCCTGCTATAGTTAGCTGACCCCCACAGTGTTCTCCTGTAGCCCCTCAGGTAGAAGTGATGCCAGGTGACACTGCTCCAGATGGGCTTGAGAATGACCTGCTACTGTTAGAAACAACACACAGGTACCTTACTCTGCTAGACTAACACTGGAATCTCAGTAATGCTGGGACAGTCTAGAGAAAGTCATGCAGTGTTAGACTGAATGTGTGTGTGTGTGTGTGTGTGTGTGTGTGTGTGTGTGTGTGGTGTGTGTGTGTAGTGTTTGGTGGTTATCCATAGTGTCAGTTTTCCTAGCCCCAGTCTATTTGTGATGTGCTCTAATGACATTGAGGAGGTGACTTTAGAGGGGAAAAATAATCTCCAGGATGCTGTGGCTGATTGACTGACTGCCTGCCTGGCTGATTGACTGACTGCCTGCCTGGCTGACTGACTGACTGCTGCAGTGTGTTCAGATTCACAGAGCAGGGATGGATTCCCTGAGAGCCCCACACACACTGTATACCTGTACACACACACACACACACACACACACACACACACACACACACACACACACATACACACACACACACACACACACACACACACACACACACACACACACACACCACACACACACACACACACACACACACTTTTGACTGTTCAATAGCTCTCGCTCCAAGCGTCACTCTTGCACTCTTATCTCCTGTGAAAACGACCATCCCCCCTCCCCTCCACCCCAACAGCGATTCTGCAGAATCGACTCCATGTGAATCTTTATATAGTCTTTAATAGCGTCGTTCTATTTTCCTTAACACCTGCCTATTTGCGGCAGTTCCTTCCCAGTCTGTTTTATGGGCCGGGCCTGTAATTCAGTAATTGCATTGGCAGTAACGGCAGGCTGAGAGGCTGAGAGGCGTTGGGAGCTTGTAAAAGGTGTCACTCCTCAGCGGCAGCCCTCTTTTAATTAAGCTCTCTGCTGGAGATGAGCGCTTTTATCTAGCGTGCTCTGATGAGCCCTGTACACTGGAGCTACACAACACACTGCACTGCAGAATACAGAGAGACTCTGTGTCTATCACTATTCCTGCCCACTAACTCTGTGTCTATCACTATCCCTGCCCACTGTCTCTGTGTCTATCACTAACCCTGCCCACTGTCTCTGTTTATATCACTATCCCTGCCCACTATCTCTGTGCCTATCACTATCCCTGCCCACTATCTCTGTCTCTATCACTATCCCTGCCCACTAACTCTGTGTCTATCACTATCCCTACCCACTAACTCTGTATCTATCACTATCCCTGCCCACTATCTCTGTCTCTATCACTATCCCTGCCCACTAACTCTGTGTCTATCACTAACCCTGCCCACTAACTCTGTATCTATCACTATCCCTGCCCACTAACTCTGTGTCTATCACTATCCCTGCCCACTATCTCTGTGTCTATCACTATCCCTGCCCACTATCTCTGTGTCTATCACTATCCCTGCCCACTAACTCTGTGTCTATCACTATCCCTGCCCACTATCTCTGTGGCTATCTATCACTATCCCTGCCCACTAACTCTGTGTCTATCACTATCCCTGCCCACTATCTGAGCCCCACCCATCATGCTCTGAGCCCCACCCATCATGCTCTGAGCCCCACCCATCATGCTCTGAGCCCCACCCATCATGCTATGAGCCCCACCAATCATGCTCTGAGCCCCACCCATCATGCTCTGAGCCCCACCCATCATGCTCTGAGCCCCACCCATCATCCTCTGATCCCCACCCATCATGCTCTGAGCCCCACCCATCATCCTCTGATCCCCACCCATCATGCTCTGAGCCCCACCCATCATCCTCTGATCCCCACCCATCATGCTCTGAGCCCCACCCATCATGCTCTGAGCCCCACCCATCATCCTCTGATCCCCACCCATCATCCTCTGAGCCCCACCCAGTCATGTTCAGATGCAGACCCTGCACCATATGCACCACTGCACACACAGACAAACAAGACCTGGGTTTTGTAACGTTTAATATTATATTATGTTATTGTAGACATGCTCATAGTCATTGCTGCTTTGGCTTCCTTGTGTGTTGTGTTATTGATGGTGTGTGTGTGTGTGTGTGTGTGTGTGTGTGTGTGTGTGTGTGTGTGTGTGTGTGTGTGTGTGTGTGTGTGTGTGTGTGTGTGTGTGTGTGTGTGTGTGTGTGTAAACTATACTGCATGGCAGCCAGGGGCTGTATGTGTGTATGAGGCATGATGATTAGAGAGGTGATCATTACAGTCCTTCCCTCCCTGTTCCTGCTCCTTTTCAACACCGCTCCATCTCGCCTCCATCTCTCATCCATCACTCCTTCATCTCTCCTCCATCACTCCTCCATCACCTCCATCCTACTAATGTCCCCCTCAGATCATCTTCCCCTCAATCAATACCCACATACAGCCTAGTGGAAGGAAGCACCAGCCACACTACCACAGACCTTTTATAACACACTCTACCTCACAGGTGACACATTCCCTAACATGACTCCAGATCAGAACCGTAATAGGTTATTTACAGGTCCCAAATCATGTCCACTTTTAGATTCTGACCTGGAGTCAGTGTGATCTTTACAGGTCCCAATCGAGGTCCACTATTAGATTCTGACCTGGAGTCAGTGTGGTCTTTACAGGTCCCAATCTAGGTCCACTATTATATTCTGACCTGGAGTCAGTGGTTGAGGGTCTGGAGTAGCCTGCCTTCAGTGCCTTGTGAGGAGGGGTGAGTGAAATTCCATCAGGTCTAAGTCTGTCAGAGCAGAGCAGAGGATAGCAGAGCAGAGGATAGCAGAGGATAGCAGAGCAGAGCAGAGGCTAACAGAGCAGAGGATAGCAGACCATAAGATATCAGAGCAGAGCAGAGGATAGCAGAGCAGAGCAGAGGATAGCAGAGCAGAGGATAGTAGAGCAGAGGATAGCAGAGCAGAGGATAGCAGAGCAGAGGATAGCAGAGCAGAGCAGAGCAGAGGATAGCAGAGCAGAGGATAGCAGAGCAGAGCAGAGCAGAGGATAGCAGTGCAGAGGATAGCAGAGCAGGCAGGGTGTTAAATCACATGTAGCCCAGATGCAGAGACATTAAAATAGATTTATTGACCGCTTTATAGATCTTAACTGTTGAGGAAGAGCGAAAATGAAACTGGATACAGAGATGACCTTTACAGCAGCCTCGCCCACATGGCTAAGTGTGTGCATGCATGTGTGTGTGTGTGTGTGTGTGTGTGTGTGTGTGTGGTTGTGTGTGTGTGTGTGTGTGTGTGTGTGTGTGTGTGGTATGTGTGTGTGTGTGAGAGAGAGAGAGAGGGTGAAGGTTTAGTGCGCGCTCTACTCTCGTCTCTCCTCTCTCGCTCGCTCGCTCGCTCTCTCTCTCGCTAGCTCGTCTCGCTCTCTTCGCTCGCTGCTCTCTCTCTCTCTCCTGCTCTCTCTCCTCTCTCTCGCTTTGTCTTTTTCCTCTTCTTACCCATCTTCTTCCTCGTTTCCCCCCTCTCCCCTTTCTTTCCTGTTTTTTTTTTTTTTATTTTTTTTTTTTTTTTTTTTTCATTGCTGTCTCGGTACGCATTCTCCGCCGGCCGGAACTGCGTGCGCCTGTCCTCCGTACATACTGGTGGGGACCCTCGTATTTTTCGATGGCTCTCCCAGTGCCGCTCAGCAATCACTGTCTACCTATGGCACACCTAATCCACACACCGGCGTACACACCAGCACAAAACCCCACACACACACACACGCACCAACCAACCACACACCCCCCACACCAGTAAGGCCCGAATGCGCTGGACCCACGCGACCGGGGACCCCCCCCCCCACACCCAGCCGCGTTCCCGCCCCCCCCCCCCCCCCCGCCCCGTACCTTGCCCCGGCTCCTTGCCGTCCCCCTCTCCTCTCTCTTCTGCACTAAAAGTGCTACTGGGTCCTGATCACTCTACTTCCCCGAGGCCCTCCTCCTCCCTCTTGCCCCCCTCACTTTACACTCAGTTTTTCACTGTGCTAAGCAAACTGGGGTGACACTCAAAACAACACACACACACACACACACCAGTTCTCTATGTGCAGCCTATGTGAAAGGCATATAAACAGAATTGCCTCAATAACAACGACTTTTAACACCTGCTCAGATTTTTACACAAGGGCATGTTTGTCATTATGCTTCCTGTTGAGCAGTGTGAACACGGTTTCTTTCTACTACAGCAATTCCTCCCCATCTCGTTTCGCTTATTCACTTTAACCAACGTCACAGACCCTAGACCTAAACTAGACAGGTTCCACATCACCATTTCAGCTCTAATTCCCTTTTCACAATCCAATTCCTGTTAATGGCATTACAGGGAAGCCTGGGTAATTGTGTTTGTCCCAGCCATAATCAGCTTACTGCCACAATACAATACAGGCTGTAGATTACTGAGGGTACCTGTATAGACACATCATGCATGGTTGGCCAGGTTGAGGAAACCTGTCTGTCTGTGGAGCGGGAATATGTAACCAGTCTTAATCTCATTCCATACACCTGTAACCCCTGTGGACATCCAATCTCTAATCTAGGCACTTTCCGAAGAACCCTAACTCCATATAACCCCTGGTGTTCAACGTGTGTGTCAACGGTGTGTGTGTGGGTGGTGGTGTGTGTATATGTATTTCAATTGGTGTTGTTTTTTAAATTTTTGTGGTGTTTTGTGTTTTTATCCCGTAAAGTAATTTTTGTTTAATTTTCTTTTGCCCATTTTTTTTTAGGGTGGATATTTTTTCTTGTCACGTGTTTTTTTTTTGTTTTTTTATCCTAGGTTCGTGGTTTTTTTTTAATTTTTTTTTTGATTTTTCACCTTCTACATCCCCCACGGATGGGGGGGCGGTGGAGGGTGCCTTTCCTTCTCTTTCTCCATTTCCGACACTATTCACCCCCCCACTTCTTCCCCCCGAAGCGGCCCCAATGCCTTGGAGTGTGCACACTGTGGCTGAAACGAGGAAAAGGTAAGGGGGATTGAGGGGGCGGGGTTTCACTTTCCACTGGGTCGTGGTCTGCATCGATGCTGTGGGCGCTCAGATGTTTTGTGGGGTCGGTGCCCAAGCGCTGTGTCCTTATCGTCGGGGGTCTCTCGGTGCTCCCTCTCCGGGAGCGGTCTAGTGCGGCGGCTCTCTGTCGGTTGGAGGGTGCCTGGGTCATCTCGAGGCTCTCTTCGATAGGGGGTATAGGCACTCGCCTCTTCCATCGCAACTCACCTCTCGTGAGGGTCATCGTTCAATAAATCCGTGCATCGTCGGTAGGGGAGTGCTCATCTGTCGTAAGAGTGGGTCCCTCTCATCTCTTCCGCAATCTCAAAGCCGTCCTACCCCCCCCAAGTGGTCGTGTCTCTATCCAGTCTCTCGTCGGGCTGCGTGTCGGTGCTGCGTCTTCAACATCATGGTGAGCCACAGGGAGGAGTGATTTGATGGGACTCACGGGCGGGTGGTGGTGGGGTGGGTAGAGGGGGGGGAGCGACCCGGGGTGCTCCCAGATAGTCCTGAGGAGGAGATGAGTCTCTCCTCCCGTCCCCCCCTTCGGGGTCTTCACCGCGGCGACTACGATGTTGCAGCCTCTGCGCGCTAGTGGGACTCATCCAGTCTGGGGGTCGCCCATCAGTTTCTGCTCTTCGTCTCGCTCTTTTCTCATCTCTCCCCGCGACTTCGCTGCTTCGTCGTCTGCGCAGTCTCTTTCTCTCTCTCTCTCTTCTCGTCTCTCGTCGCCTCTTCGTCCGGGCGCCCTCACTCGCCTCTCTCTCTTATTTTTTTGCTCCTCTGGTGATTTTTCTATTTTCTCCAGGCTGTAACATCATAGGATGAGATTAAACAGTGCTGGTAGTGGGTTGACTGTATTGATGCTGAGGCTCTTTGTCCTATAGTCTCTGCCTCTATGTGTTGGACCATTCTTTCTCTGTCAGGTTAGTCATTTAGGGAGAGAGGAACAAAGTTAATGAGACAAGTTCTAATCCATGCTATTTGGAGTTCTGCCAACATTATTGACTCCACTGCAGAAAGGAGAGGAGGGGATACGATTTGGTTCCAGGGCACAGATGACCTATATAGGAAGGACATGATAGCAGGCTGATCCAGGGCACAGATGACCTATACAGGAAGGACATGATAGCAGGCTGAAGCTGGGGCTGAACACACAACACAGAGCTCCCAGAATCCCACAGCTCTCTAGGGTGCAGATACAGTAGGATGTGAGACACAACTCTCTGCATGACACTTCTACTCCCAATGTGTGATCTGTGTTTTCTGTTCAGTTCTATTTTCAGATTCCATATTGTCAACCATAAGAGAACAATGACCACAAGACACTGAGGAACACAATCAATATGGATTCTCAATGAACAGATCATTCAATGAGCTCTGGCTAGTCATCCACCCATTATGTATATAGACATAATATGACATTTGAAATGTATTTATTCTTTTGAAACTTCTAAGTGTAATGTTAACTGTTAATATTTAATGTTTATTTCACTTTTGTTTACTATCTACTTCACTTGCTTTGGCAATGTTAACATACATTTCCCATGCCAATAAAGCCCTTAAATTGAATTGAATTGAGATATATACATATATATATATATATATATATATATATATATATATATATATATAGGATCAGATAGAGCGATAGGATAGAGAGAGATGCGAGAGAGAGAGAGATAGATGAAGAGAGAGAGAAGAGAAGGATGAGAGTAGACGAGAGAGAACAGAGCAGAGAAGAGAGAGAGAGGAGAGAGAGAGCGAGATAGTAGAGGGGGATAGAGGACCCTTTCCCAAAAAACACAGTGGTCTAAACTCTGGTGTCCAAAACACCCAGCGCGCCCTAGAACCTTTTTTTGTCTGAGGACCAACTAGGATCACCCAGCCACATAATAATACCACAGGCACAAA